AGATTCCAGTAATTGTCGTGTGCAAAAATACCTTCTTTATTAACGGACCAAAGTCGCCTGACATTCGCTTTTTATTATAATATAGATGTTGTTATTGGTTTATGAAATTGTTTTAGTCTTATAGGTTGAATTTGAGAAATATCTATCACACTTTGAAAAAGATGTTTTTCAATTTTAATATTTTAATTAAGTGAATCATTGACAAGAACGATCAAAGGTAAGAAGAGAAACCTTTTTTGATACATAAAGTTTTCTCAACAAGTTTTTGTCTCGTAGAATAGACTTAAAAATACTATGAATTGTGAAGCAAACTATAAATTAGATAAAAGTCATCTTTGGAAGTTTTTGTTCTTATTACTCGTGATATTTTAAGTCTATTCTCAACGAATACAAGCTCTCCAAATGCGGAAAAATTTATCATTTTTCAAACGAGTCGAGACCTTCTGAGATCTAAATCTCAAAACTTTATGTATCAAAAATACTTAAATGCAGCATAAAAATTAAGAAAACATCTTTTTGCAAGAGCCTGATAGACATCTCGTGGATTCACACATTATTCAAGCAATCACTTTTCTTAATTGTTGTTTTGTAAAATATAATATTAAAAAGAATAAAATTAATTTTGATTTCAATACATACGAAGAAGTCTTTGTAAAGGGGAAACAGCTGACACTTCAGCCCTGAAAAGCACACACACTCTCAAGATTTATGTTTGATAGGCTCTTCATTATGCAACAGTAACAAAAAAAATATATGAAAAGTTTATTTCTAATAGAATAATCTTATTGTCGTCGCTTAAAACATGATTGAATCGATTCTTTAAATTGTTCAAAATATAAATCTGATGTTAAAACAAAAATAAACAACATAAGCATTGATGGTAGAAATGAAATAAAATACCCAATAAGAGACAACAGTGGATTTCTTGATGATTTCATGCATGTTGCTAATAATGATATAATTAAACGTGATAATGATAAAATAACAAGAAGTATTGGACTTATTAAAATTTGTTTATATTCTTTCAACTGTGTAATAAGTTATTAGTAAAATGCTAATTTAGAATTATTTGTATTACGTTGTCATGCTATCATTATTATTATAAATACTGTGGAAAAAAATTTATTAAAAATGGAATCAAAAAATGAACATTTATTATTATTGAATTATAATTTTGTATCAATTTTGAATAATGTGTAACACACAATATACGATTTTCTTCATAATCATCATACAAATCACGATAAATTGGTTCATAACTAATTGATAAAAGAACTATTATTCGTTTAGTTAAATATTTACGTTTTTTTTAATTAAAACTAACACCAACAAAAACCGAATATCCACGTTCAATAGCAACAAATGCATTTAAGAAAATATTCAATAGATTTACAACTAAATTGAAGAATAAAACGATTTTGAATAAAATAACGAAGAAAAATTTCATTAAAAATAAAATCATAACAAATAAATATATTCCGCAACCAACTTGTTGTGACTTTTCCTGACCAAATATTAAAAATGAGCCATCTTGAGAGTGTGTGTGTAGTCTTGATATCTTCTTCACACCCACACCCTTCTTTTGTCAAATATCGAGCAATATCGTGTTGAACAATTTCAATTAAAAGACTGGCCAATGAGGAGTCTTCGTATTTTTTAGAAGATTGATCTGCGCATGTTCTAATGTGACAATCTCATTGGTATACTGATCTTTTACGTTCTATGTCGGTTTATAAAGACTTATCAACGATCGTTCTGTATAAAATCATCAATTATATTGATTTTGCAATGAAGTTTAATTTAAGATAAACAACGTCGAGAAAAATTAATGAATGTAAAACAATATTTTATTTAAATAAAAAAATGAAATGAAACTCGTTTATTACCAAAATTGATCTGATTTTCAACGTTATTAAAATCCGCATCATTTGTTAATATTTTGTTTGAGCAAAATTTTCGAATTAGAAAACCTCTTGGTTTATACGTTGTGAAGTTAACATGAAATGAATGTCGTGAATATGATAAGAAAGAGACAGTAAACACGTGGCGTGAAGTTATCATTATACGATAAGAATGTTGAAGAAAGAATCTTTCTTGAATGACAAACAATATTAGAAACATTTACTAGTCTATTTGAATGATGTATATTGTGTTGGCTTTTGTTTGTCTAATTGGTGTCACTGACCAACGAATACTTCATCGAAATGATTTTTCTTCGTTAAATGATGATGATAATACCTATTTCCGTGGTTCAAATTACATTCGTTTAATTAACACATCTATGCATGCAACATTTGAGCCTAGTCTATACTCTACTTGGATGATTGAAACTGCATTAGAACAAATGCAAAGTTATGGTTACAATTATGTCCGAGTATTTCTTGCATGTCCTACTTTCTATGCTGGATTTGGACTTTCATCTCCTGGTATACCTCTTAACTATACAAAGAATGTTATTGATTTTCTTGTTCGTGCAGCAAATCATAAAATATTAGTAATGTTAACAGCTGATTTTAATCCTCTAAATTATCAATCAATTATCAATTCATATCCAATGCCACCAAATGTTACAGGAGGTAATGCTATAATCTTTCATCGTGGTCAAGTCGAAGCAAAAGCACAATTCTTTCGAGATCTTTTATCGCAAATCAAAGCAGTGAATATGACTGCTTTCGAAAATATATTTGCAATAGATATTTTCAATGAAATTGCAGTTTCTGTTCGTGAGCAACCCTTTTCTTTGACTAGTGGATTAGTACCGTTTGAAGATATTCTATATGATATGGCTAACGGAAATGATCGTCAACGAATGCTCGACATTGCTGGTAATATTTGGATGGATACAGTCGTGGCGGCTATAAAATTAGTTTCACCAAGAATTCTAGTTACGGCTAGTCTCTTCTCTCCTAATGCTGTCGGTCACGATGGTTTCGATGGCGTACAAGTTCGACCACCAGATGCTGATGATCGATATCCTTTACGACCGGCAAGTCTAGTACAAAGTCTGGCTGATTATATTGATTTACATGTTTATGCTAGTGAAAATGCACAAAAGGAACTAGCAGGAGCAGCTCTCAGTTCAGAAAAACCGATTTTAATGGGTGAAACAGGTGCATATACAGGATTCTTTTCAAATGCATCCATCGCTGCCTTAGCTATTAAAAACGTAATCATTGATAGTTTTGATTATGGATTTATCGGATGGAGTATTTGGACATGGGACAGTACTGATCAACAACCACGTTTTTGGACATTGACCGAACAAAATAACACTATCAATAATGTTTTAGCACCCAGTGTTTGGCCCATTGGGAAACTCGCGAAGAAATTGCCAATAAAATTCTAATGGGCAATAACTGTCGTAAAAAAAACAAAAAGAAAGACTTATCTTGATTACTAGAAGACATAGAAAAATTTTATCTAAACATTTTAATAGGAAATAAATCTATCCTGATTGATAATATTGAATCAGTCGCATTGTTATGTATAAAATATGTTATCATTCACTTTATTTTAATAGAAATGGAAAAAAGAATGCATAATAGAAGGACATACATTATGAAAAAATTGCATGGCAAATCAGTTGATTGGATGAGCGATTTTCATTCACTCTGTTGCGCTCCAGATGTTAATGTACCATATTTTGATAGTAATGTATCCAATACACGTGACTGGTGAAAGTCATCACCTAGATCGTTGAACATATCGTGAGCCATGCGAGCTCCTATAATAGGTTTTGTTTTCATCAATGCACAAAACTTATCGGATGCGAATAATTTTCCGACTGCAAGAGTCTTTTGTACAGCTTCATTATCTTCGTTAAAATTCAAACAATTCGGCGAATAAGGAAACTTATAATCTGTACGTTTGTATGCTTTTCGAATCATCATGGCCATTTGACAAATATCCTTTCGAGTTAAAATATCACCATTCGTATCAAATAATAATTCACAAAATAAAGAGTGCACGTCGTTTTTCAACACTGGATGCAAACAAAGTATGCATAAAAATTCTAGTGCTGCGCATCCGGGACAGCTCTTTGTGAATATACGAAGAAATGTTGATCGAGAAACTAATGGTAAAATAGCTCGTAACAAATTGATGTATACCTGGAAAGCATATTCATAATTCAGATGACCAGCTTCATATAAATGATAAACAAAATTATTAATAGAATCATCTTCACATATTTTCGAAGCCGATTCTATCGTCAGCTCTTCTCGTAAATGAATTAGTCGTTGGACATTTGATCGTCCTTTCCATCAGGCAAATCGAGCATATGATTTGTAATGCTTTTAGTATAATTCAATGTCGACGAATACTTGATTTTATTCACTGATATTTTTCTTTTTCTCCATATCTTTTATATGTGCTTTAGCAAAGGGAAAAAAGCGTAGGATAAATATTCTTACACAATTACACGTTTTTTTCCGTTCTATTATCAATGACGAATGGGAATCTGACCATCGTTTTTTTACAAAAGCTTGCATAATCTTGTAGTAATCTTTATCGAAGTCAAAAGTCAAATATTTAAATTTTTTTCAAGTGAATTTCAACTAAGGCTATATACAGGTTTAATATTTTTAGGATTCGATAAAAAATAAAGTACGATACTTCAGCATATATGCATTTTTATTAGTTTAATAACTGATCAATCAGGTCATTTTCGAACTGTAAACTTTAATGGTGAAATTTTAGCAAGCGACTCTATTTTTTAACGATTAATCACCATCACCATTATATCTCTAATTCATATACAGGTTTGTGCTAACTTGATATATTCTTTAATGATTTATTACTGAAAACATTTATCAGAACATGAATTTATAATGGCCCGAAATATATATGACAGTAGCTTGAGAGTTTTTTATTTTAAGATTTCAAGATAAAGATATTTTATTATTCGCTTTATAATTTATTTTGTCTTTCAGAGAACAGCGTTTCATTCTTTCGAAATTTCATTGAACGATTCATTATTCAACGTTCAGCAATTACGTCACCTATTGTTCACTTGGTAAAGGTGAAGTTTTTACTCTCACCCACACCCACCCCATTCTCAAGATGCTGTTATGCATGTAGAAAAACATACATCAAGAAGTAACATAGAATAGAAAAAATAAAATGAAAGCATATTAATATAATCTTCACAAAATTAATACACAAAACTTGCTAGTTTAATAGACATTATCAATCACATATAAATATTATGATTGCCTTGCAGGCATTGCATGAAACTGCTTTGTTCCATCGATTGGTTTTTCCCAAGATGGTCTTTCTTTACAGTATAACTCCATTGATGGTTTAGGAATATCATCAAATAGTCCTAATTTGATAATTTGAACGCCAGGCATAGTAGGTGAAGCTGTATAAAGTTGACTACCACAATTACTACAAAATGCACGTTGAATCACCGTTCCACTATCAGTTTTACCATCTTGATAAATTTTAGGTTCGCCGGTAATTTGAATAGCCGATAGAGGAACTATAACAGCGACTGCTGATAAACTTCCACCACATTGACGGCAATTCTTGCAATGGCATACATAAGTTCTATCAGTTGCACTGTATGCTTCTTTAGTAATGGAAATAGTAATTTGTTCACACAAACATTTGCCGACAATGAAATCCATTTTTAATAAATATTTTTTTCTGCTGTTGTAAGAATATATAAATTCAGGTGTCTTTGTCGTCCAACTTACAAATACTCTATTATAACAGTATGAAAAAATTAATATTCGATACAAGCAATTCAAACTTTCATTAGAATTTTTTTTCGAATTTTGTTTTTAATAGAATTTGGAGAACTACTTTTTTAGCTTTAGAAAATGCTTCTTTTAAGCTCAGCTCCAAAAAAAACTGAATATAAATAAATCATTTTTATATTCAGATTCAGGATCAAAATCTAAATGGATTCACATATTTTTCTTGAAACTTTACCTAAAACAAAGATCGAAATAATTAACAAAAAAAATGAAATATATATCAATCGATTCAGATTTCGATCCTAAATACAAATATGGAAATTTTATTTCAAAAAAACTACGTTTTGCTATCGAAAATTGTGAATTATATGATTTTATCAACATAAACAAAGATAGATAGTTTTGTAACTGATGGTGTGATGAGTTGAGTGAGATAAAATATTTAACTTTACCATTTACCTAGAGAAATTTGATACGTTTACAAAAACGACCTATACACATTACGTTCGGTATGATTCAGAGCGCCATCGTTGAAAGATGTCGGAGTGTAAAGTCGAAGTTATTTTTCTTGATCAACACAGTTCAAGTTCTAGCAAATGATGTATAAAATAAGGGCACACATCGTTACAGTATCCACTAGCGTTCAAAGTTCAAAACATATTCAATACATATATGAGCAAAAGAAATCTATAGATAATGGTATTCAACAAATAATTCGTTTTCGTTTTGTTAATTAGAAAGAACATGTAATAATATAAGAAATTTTTCTTTTTAAAGGTGACACGATAACCAAAAAAAATTGAGCTGACAACAACAAAATAACTAAAAGTTAATTGCGAGAAATAAATAGTGTGCACACGTAAAATTACCGTAAAAATATTGTTATCTTCTTTCAAAATACAATCAAATGTGTAAGACATTTCTCACATTGAATCTTATAGAACTTCATTATATTATTTGATGCAATTCAAAGATCAGTGACTCAGATTAAAACATTCAATAATTTATTAGTCAACAATGATATATATCAAATATCACTTCAGACAAAAACAAGAGCGGAAAGTATTGGAGAAGTTAACTATTGAAATAAATTCATATGAAAATATGATTGCGCAAAAGAAAAAAAAAAGTCGAAAATAAACGTAATAGTTTATTTTTTCACGGATATTTTCATCTAACAAAATATATCATAGTCAAAATACATCATCTTTACACTCTCTAATTACCATATTAAGAATATCACTGATTCAAATCAAATCATATACGTAATAGTTTTTTTTATAATAAACTGATTCATTTTCTATTTTTATACAAAAAAACGATTATCTTAATTGTATCTATTTACTTTCAACGCAATTTCAATCAATTGAAAACATTGATTTATTTGAATGATATAGACATTCTACGGAGTATAGTACAAATGCACTCAATTTATCTTTATCATCTTAAAAAATTGAAATTTGCATCAAATGTTTTTATTTTACACTTTCTTCTATTACATAATTTTTCATGTAAATTAAAATCAATATATATGAAACTAATGATGTTTAATTGTAATGAGAAGGATAATAAACAAATTTAACTTTCTTCCATGATTAATTGATATAGTTATAAAAAAAATATTTTTATATCTATTTTACGATAATAAACAAAGTACACATTAAAATTGGAAAGAAAATTTTCAACATTAACGTCCTTGAAATTTATAATAACCGAGTATGTTTTTTTTCTTTCTTGTTTGAAAGCAACAATTTCATGATGAATACGAGATATTTGTTTTTTTCATATATACGAAGAGAGAAAGGAA